CAATTCCAACTGTACTTGAAGTATAATACAAATATGTGTTCATTGGTATTGTTGATGGACCGTTGTTGGCTTGCTATAAAGTCGGTAGGAGGGTTCTCGGGGTAAACCCCCCTCCTGAATCGTTTGGTGACGTCGGAATTGTGATCGGCGTCGATTTGGAAGTTTGTCTGGAATTGAGACATTTCGTTGTAACGATACAATGGAGATGTGACTGGTGCAAATTTGGACAGTATCAGCCAATGATATCCAACGTCAACTTCAATGGACAAACTTGAAGCAATGAGTTTTATTAAAATATACTTGCTAATAGTGCAACTGTACATACAAAATCCAAGACACAGCTGAGTGTTGCACTGACCGAGTTTCTCCGCAAAGCACTGTATATCAGCTATCAAGTGGAGACTTCACCAAATAAGCTATATTTCCATGCATTTTAAGGTCGCCATAGAGGAGCACTCCCTATTAATAATGAAGCCTACACTAATAAGGAAGCCACATTAATCAAGGCCTCACGCTATTAATAGTACGGACACGGTGTACCTGGAGAGTCAGAACACCCTGTTCTATCATGAACATCACCACTGCCCTGAAGCCTCAGGTGGCAGCATTGGCTGCAGCTAGTAGGAGGTTTTTGTGCCTTTTAGAGGCTTTTCCTCGGATAGTAGATAGCCAGCCATATCCACGGTACATCATTAGGATGCCGTGTCCTGATTGGCTAGCCATTAGCTAATCCGTCGAGCCTTTAGAGCCAGTTGTTCTCACTGATAGCTAAGCTAATTCACTTTCCGTTTCACCCGCAACCACCCAGTGTTCCCCCTGGCCTTTGCACCTTCCTACTGGTTATGAGCTCCACCGCATTTTCTGCTGCGGCAACCCGCCCAACCCTCTCTGTCGTCCACCACCTGCGTGGACACGACAACTTTGACGAGTGGCACTTTGAGTTGACCACGATCGTCCTCCAATACACTGGCGTCGAAGACAAGTGGTCCATCAAGGGCCTGACGCGTGCATTTCGCGTCCTCGATGGCGACACCAAGAAATTGCGTCGGCGCATCGACGACGCAGTCCTTCGACCGTAATCGGAGCCTCCAGTCCCGCCACCTGTCCTTGATGACGTAGCGCCCAAGCTCATCGATCACATCATGGAATATCTGGCCGAACTTTGTTCAGCTAAATTTATCGAAGCTCGCGCGGCCAAAGCCGCGCTAGAGCACCTACTGAAATCCGAACACGCGGATGTCGAACAATTCATCGCATTGGTCTACTCATCGCTGTTGGAGGCAGTGTGCCGCGACGCCGCTGCCGCAAACCTTGGTCAATGCGCCCAGTGCATCATCGAGTGGCTCCGCGGCAAGTTCTGCAGCGAAGAGCAAAAGTTTGCGTCCACCGTGGACGTCTACACCAAGTTCCACGGCTTCAAGTTCGAGCGATATTGCTCGCTTGACGGCAGCCTGGCCACTTTCAAGCTTCGAAAGGCCGTCGAAAAACGCGAGAGCACGACTCTCAGCGACAGCCACCTCGCATCGGTGTTGTTGTCCGCGCTGCCTGATTGCATTGCACACGATGTGCAAGTATGGCGCGGTGCTCGACCGAGCATCCCATACCATAACGACTCGGACAAATATTTGCTTGATATGTGCTTCGGACACGCACTTAACTGGATTTACGCATTAAATGCGAATAGTTGTACCACAGGCCTTGTCCGGGTAGCGACACGGCCTGCTTTACCTGCCGCTTTTCCCGACAAGAGGAATCGATTGGACGTTCGGTGAAGTGCACGATTGGGGCTCACTCCTCGCCAAGGCACCGCCTGAACAAAATTATACACACGACCTCCGCTACGCTGCGGTGCGCGCAATTTTGTGGGCGGACGCTCTGTCGTCGCTCGCTACTGTAAAGCTGATCGTTCTTATGCGGGTTAATACAATGCACAAGTATGTCCGAACATATTCCGTTCGGACACTTTCACTCGGACAAAATATGTTCCCCTTAAGTCCAATACAAATGCCAAGTATGTCCGACTGAAATTGTCCGAACGTGTCCGCAAAGTGATCATATTCACCCATACACCCAGCTCCGGGAACTCTTGCCGCAGCACTGGCACGAGTTGACCCAGAAATACCCTGATTTCCTGGGTCCCAAACCGACGGCTCATGCCGTCCCGGTTCATGGTTCGAGCCAAGCGCCCGAAACCACTCGATCCAGCGCTTTACGCCTCTCGAGCTATGATGGCTATGGTCAAACGACCGGACTCAGTCCATGGCGCTCCCAGCGCGACATGCCTCGCGAAGATCGCAGCTATTGTGACTACAACGCA